CCCCAAAACCCCAAAACCCCAAAACCCCGAAGTGCAATAATAACTAATTATTGCAAAATAAAATAACAAATAAATATAGTTTTATTATTAGTAAAAGTAATATTAAGATGTATTTACTCAGTTAGCCTCAAACACCTAATTAAAATGAGTCTATAGCAATTTTTCCACATTCAAATAAACCGAAATTGAAATAATTAGCTTATGAAAAATTACAAAAATTACCACCTCTTCACCCAAATGTAAAATCCAAGAATTTAAAACTTAAAAGGCAAATGGAAGATCATATGAAGTAAGAACTCAAGGGACTCAATCCTTAATCGAAAAAGGAATATATGATGTTAAAAACCATATTACCGTAAACTTAATAAAAACATGTAAGAATAGGCGAGAATGGATAAACACTATCTCCTCTCACAACTGCAGCAAGAATTGAAAACACTGTAGATTTTGAAAGCGTAAGAAAAGCTCATTTCAACATCACAAGAAAGAAAAAGCTTTAAAATTTTGGTTTAACTTGGGTAGAGAAAACAATTAAGAAATTTTAGCATGACACAGCTGATGGATGGCTCTTAAGATTATCATTCTAGCGCAAGAATATCAAATCTCAAAGTTCAAATAACTTTATTAAAGATGATGAAATACTTGATTTCACAGAAAAGGCAAATACACCTCAGCATATAGAAAGTAGACTGAGAAAAAGATCATTTCATAAGAAAATCGTCCAATTAAAACAAAGAGAAGATAAAGCATTAGAAATGATTCTTCATTAAAAAAAGATAATGAATATCACTTAGAAATGTGATAGAGAAAATAAAGATATTCAGAGGCTATTGACAAACAAAATAAAGAAGTATGAAGAAGAGTAGTTAACTGAATAAATCTAATCCTTTTGGAATAAATATAGAACAATGGATGTCTAGAGTGCACTTAATAAATTTAATGTTTGATTATGATAAGTCGTTTATTAAAAGGAGTTAAATAGATTATCTTCAATACATTTATCATGAATTTTAGTTCAATGGGGTTTTGGGGTTTTGGGGTTTTGGGG